ACTGGGCCCCAGCCATGGGTGTTGGGATCCAGAGGTCACCGGTTCAGCCCTAGCTGCTGACAGCTGCTGGCATTAAATAGGCCGAGCGGAACCTCGTGTGTCCGTCTCTTTCCCCTCCCCCCCGGAGTCCCAGTGGATGCTGCTGCGCTGAACGTGGGCCAGTTGGCGTTGCTCCACCTCCCCCCCGGTTTGCCTGGCCGGCGGGGGGTGCAGCCCTGTCGCTCACGGGGCCTCTCCCCCCAGGACTACTTGGCATGTGCTGTACCCGGAGGAGAGGCTGCTGCTGGCGAAGGAAGGACCGCACCGTTCACAACTTCTGCTTCTCGGTTTCTGTGTTTTGTTTCTTTATTATTTTTTCCCCTAATAAAGAGACTTTGGTTAACGGTCACGACGCGAAGGCAGGTCCCACCTGGGTCCCACAGCTGCCTGCTGCCGGCTGTTCCTATCTGAACCTGTTCCTATCTACGCCCCCATCCACCGCTACGGGGACTGTTTTTTTTGGGGGGGGGGACCCAAATTTCGAATTGTTTTTGGAAACTCCCGGCTGGAATTCCTCCCAAGCCTCCTTTTTATTGGCTTAAGAAATCCCTGTCCGAGTGTTCACAGGCGAACCGTTGCCCCCCACCCCAGCGAGTGCGGCGGGCGCCTGTGATTGGCATGGACCAGCAAGAAAACACCCTACATTCCTTTCCAAAACTCCACCGGAAGAAATCGTGTTTGACGTTGCTTTTTAAATGGCTCTTGTAGCGCTATTGAGCAGTGCCCAGTGCTCACCGGCCGCGTGGCCCGCGCACAGTCGGCTACGGTGTGAAAAACAAAATGCAATTGTGCCTTGCGGGGGTCGTGCGTTTCCTGGCATGGACCAGCAAGAAAACACCCTACATTCCTTTCCAAAACTCCACCGGAAGAAATCGTGTTTGACGTTGCTTTTTAAATGGCTCTTGTAGCGCTATTGAGCAGTGCCCAGTGCTCACCGGCCGCGTGGCCCGCGCACAGTCGGCTACGGTGTGAAAAACAAAATGCAATTGTGCCTTGCGGGGGTCGTGCGTTTCCATCTGGGCCGTAGTTTGCTCCGGCGACCGTTGTCTAGAACCAGGATGGCATAAAACCACCTCGGCGCGGGGGGCCACGGCCCAGAGCCTCCAGCAACGCTTCT